AAAGAGAATTGCTATTTTTTTTCAATTAACATACATGCTGGATGGTATTTAAAACTAGGAAATTGGCCGAAAGTCAGTTTTTTATATTATAAAATTTTTATCACCTAGGCGACTAAGGTGCCCCAGTGTTACCTAGAATCACCTAGACGCCTTGAAAACTATGATCCTCTGTATAGCCATCATCACTCCCATCTTCTTCTTCATTCCAAGCCTCTCCTCCTTCCCCCACAACTTTCTTCAAACTCTCCTCCCTCCTCTCAAACTCTTCAATGGATCTTATGGCAAGTGCTTCTCCTCCCAAAAAGAAAAGACCAAGTTTTTCCTAGATGCCTTGAAAACTATGCTCCCCTGTATAGCCATCATCACTCCCATCTTCTGCTTCGTTCCAAGCCTCTCCTCCTTCCCCCACAATAACTTTCTTCAAACTCTCCTCCCTCCTCTCAAACTCTTCAGTGGATCTTATGGCAAGCACTTCTCCTCCCAAAAAGAAAAGACCGAGTTTTTTTTCTCCAACTTCAACATTTTTTCAGCAATTTTCTCAATATTTGGTGCAACTTTCTTCTTTGCTTTTTCTCCTAAAATTGTTCCAGCTATCCTCAAGTCAGTTTCTATCCATTCCTCAGTATTCTTGTCTTGCTGTTGAGTATTAACTACCTATGAAACTGAAAGCGGATGACAATTCAGTTTTCTTCCACTAGGATCAACTAATTCTAACAATTTCCTCTTCATGCCCTTTCTCTTTTAAGCTTTCTTAAAATTCTTTGTAGGACCAATGCCAAATAGGCTGAGCTTCAGTCTAGAGAAAACTTCAGTTACATGTACAATATGTATCTTTCTAGAAGCCTAGAGCTTCTTAGAACCAATCGAACCTTAATAGAATCACATCTTTCACCCATTTTCCTCTTGCGACCCAAATTGACACCCAGCTTACCAGCCACAACCTCCTCAAAACAAACTAGAGAAACAGATGAAAGCTCGTTGTACTTATCATTTGCTTTTCCGAATGGGTCAGCCTCTTCAACCCCAACAATTTCATTGGTTTTTAGAATGACATCCGATTGATTTTCATTGTCCCCTAATCACAACTCCACCCCTTCAGCTTCCTCCTTTGCATCTCTCAAATGCAACTCCACCAAAGAAGGGCCAACTTCTTGAGATGGCTTGAAAGCATCGTCTTGAACAACAAGAACATTGTACACCGCAGTAGACTCACCACAACGAAGAGCACAAGCCCCTGTGGACAAACCATCCATACCATTAGAACGGTCGACAATAGAGCCAATGAGCAGCTCCTCTTTGACTGTCACCTCTCAAGATCTCCTTGACTTGACTCTCAGTTTTCCTTTTAATATTCAAAACATTTTTCCTTTTAAAAGTGACTACGTGATTTTTTTCAATTGGGAACATAGACAACTGGTTCCCACCTCCCCCCTTATTAACTCTAGGCCTCAAAAGGAGTTCGCCACTCAGACCATTAACCAACTTCATGACCCAAGGAGACTTTTCCACTCCAATACTCAAGCTTTTCTCTATTTATCTACCTAGCCCCACATCATTATCCTTCTGATCCTCAATGTGTCCCACCAACCTTCTTTGTACACCATTCATAATACTTTACCATGAAAGAGGACCTAGGTTGGAACTCGAAACTGCTTTTGGTTGGGACTCCCCTTGACTCTTCGAATCCCCACTTCCACCACTCCTATTGAGACCCAATTCATTGCCTTCCGTGGGGGAAATTTAATCTGTATTTCCCAAACTACCCTTGTCTTCATCCTCTTTGAAATCTTCAAGTTGAACTGGTTGTTGCACTTCTCAACTGTTTCATTAGGAATCTACGGGTTCTTACTACTCATCCTCTGGTCCTCCCCCACAAACCCATATTCTCTACCCATTTTTTCGGATAAGATCCCTCTACCACAAGTCTCAGACTGGTTGATTTTCCAGTAACTCGCAAAGACAGAGAAGAAGGCACCAAATGGATTTCATCCACTTCGACCAGGATACACGCACAAACAAGATTCCTCTAGGGGCCAAGGTTTAAAATATTGATACAGGCCAATATGCTAGTAGGGGCATAACGGTCTATTTTGAAGCTCATTCTCCTATTTTTTTCTTGGAAACAGGTTCATAGGGGTCAGTTTAAGGCTGGTCTACCCCTCGAACCAGGTCAGACGTCTATATGACTTTTGTAGGGACGTATCGTTAAGCCACCAATACAGGGCGAATCGTGTCAAATTTTTGAACCATGGTAGGAGCTTGTCCTAGAACCAAAAAATTTGAATCTTACACACACATCATCCACTGCTTCAAGAGTTTGAAAACACCACGCGTAAAGAGGAATGCCATAAATGTTAATCCACACAAAACTTGTTGAACTTACTAGCGGGTTCCATCTTCCAATCCTCAAATCAGTAGACCAAAATTGAGTGTGCTGTCGATCCAAATTATCATCTACCTCCTCATTTCTAAAAATGAACAAGAAGAACCCATCATTCAGTTTCCTCACTTGAAGAAAACTATTTGGCCTCCAAGCAGCAGCCACCCACTCCACAACTTCATCTAGGTCTGAATTAACAAAATGACCCACTAAACTCCTCTTAATCAAGCTCAGTCGCCCATATGTACTCTTGTTCTAGCCAGTGTTTTAAAAGGCATGGGAGACATACGCCTGGAGGTGTGCCTCCAGGCGAGGTGCTCCCAAAACGCCCTGAGGCATATGCCAAAGGCACTGACACCTCTGAGGCATACACCTCAGGTTTAAGAGGTGTACGCCTCATACGCTTTTTTCATGAGGCGTGCTAGAGGCGTACACCTCATGCGCCTCATGCACATCTTATATAAAATGGCAGAAAAAGAAAGAAGAAAAAAAGTAAAGGAAAGGCAAAGAAAAGAAAAGAAAAGAAAAGAAAGGGAAGGTCTCTTCGGAGACATCCGATAAAATTGGAACGATACAGAGAGATTAGCATTGGCCCCTGTGCAAGGATGACATAGACAAATCAAGAAAAGAAAAGGAATGGAAAGAAAAAATCAGATATAAAAAGACCCCCCTTTTAACTAATGTATGCATCTTTATTCTTCTCAATATAAAAGATTTTTATTAAAAGTAAAGAAAAAATCAGATTCCCGCTTCCTCTTCATCCTCCTCCCCTTCCTCCTAACCCCCTTCCTTTTAAGGAGGCTTACGCCTCCTTGTGTTCGGGAGGCTTATGCTTCTTGCATTCTGAACTACGCCTCACGCCTCAAGGTAGTTAAACGCCTCGCGTCACACCTCCGCATTTTAAAACATTGGTTCAAGCATACATGCAGCTCCCTTGACATCATTAATTGTTGCCTAGTTGATAATTGCAAAAGCACTTCATCCCTGGTTCTGAAGAAATGTGTAATAGTCTAGTCTCAAGCTAAGAAGCATGAAAAGGCTTGTCAATTAGTTATGTTAGCTCAGCATGGTTCATCATGAGAGTGTTGTGACAATTTTTTTAGCTCACCATGATAACTTCAATCAATCTTCTGTAGATTTTTCATAACATTAATGCAAGTATAGAATTTTTTTGGGTTGTTGATATTAGGTTATGGCTAATAAGCCCAATTCATAATTGTGGACAATGTTTTGAAAAAATGTTATCATATCATAAATTGTAGAGAAAGTCGAATGACTCGAATCAATTTGAATCATGAATCGTATTGTAGACATAAGATTAATTCTATTTTTATTCATAAAAAGATTATTTTTATTTTTCACAAACTTGTAAAAAATTAAATATAGAATAGGTATATTAAAAGGCTAAATATATATAGGAAAATGATTTTACCCTATTTTTATCTATATCTACTATATATGTACTTAAACAATAGAATTAACCAGTTGTACAAGATAACCCTTAGATGATATAATCAAGATTGATTTGGAAGTCAAATTGTCCATATACAATGGCTCTTTAACCTATATATGATGAAAATAGTGTCAATGTCCGGTCATAAATAACATAACTAAGCCATTTTCAAAAACAAATCTCCCTTGAAAAAACTATAAACCAAAAAAATGACAAATTAGAGAACTAATTCTTAATTGAATTTATTTGAATCGTAGTGAATTGCAGGAATCTTAATTGTGAGAATCAAAATGTAGGATTCAAGCAAAAATCTTACAATTTTATTTTTGTAGGAGGGGATTCAGGCATAAGATTCTAATCAAAACCCTTAAGATTCATGGTTTAAATCATGAACTGTATCATAAATCATAAGATTTTAACAACATTGATGGGGAGTGATTTGGGCACACCATTTTAATTACCTTAATCAAAAGTGCTTTGGTAAGTTTGCCACATATTACTTGTCCATTTTAAGAGTACAAGTAGGATTGAAAAGATTCAAAGAGATTTTCTTCGGGATGTGAAGGGGAGGAAGAAATTTGAATTTAGTGAAATGGGATAGAGTTGGAGAGGCTAGAAGAGCTAAGGGTAGACCAAAAAGGATGTGTTGAAGTAATAAGAAATGATTTTCAGTTGTTGTTTTGATTTTTTTTTGCTGAGTTAATTCTCAATAGAGATTGTATGTTATATGAAGTCATTTTCTGTTTTGGTAAAATTTTCCTTGTCAAAAAAAAAAAAAAATCTTTGAGAGTACATATGTTGAAAGACAAAATATGCCCCTGTTTTGACTAGGCATGTACCTGGTTTATTGAAACTAGGTGTGCTATAGTCATTCCCCTTAACAAAACTTCATTTATCATAATCTGAATGCTAACTAGAAGTGGAATAAGAGCTCTGGACTGTTGGTCTACACCACGTATGTCCTCAAATTGTGAATGCTCTATTGTCCAAGAGTCAGGCTTCATTATGCAAACTGTGCAGATTGATTATCATATTTCAAATCACCCCTCTTGGATTTAGATCACATACTAATGCTTCGATTCACCACCTTTGTAAGCTTATTCTTTTGTGAAGGACCAATACTTGGAAGTCGGAACTAAATTTCTTTTTGTATCTTCATCAATCAAGATGTGTAGATGCCATGGATTCCCAAGAATCTCTTACAAACAAAATGTTTTGGATGCGAAATGGGTGGGGGTGGGGAGCTGTTCCCTGAACCTGAGTTCAAATTTGATTGTACATCATCCTTGCTAAGGTAATTTTGGTATTTGTTCTAGTGTCTGTATTTTCTGTTGGAGTTGGATCAGGTGAATGCATAAAAACTTAATTCAGTGATAAACTCACTTATGAGCTAGGGTTATAATTTTGAGTTGAGAAGTGAAATTTTTAGAAGTTAATTTGTGGATGTTGGCACAAATTACTGAATACCTGAACCATATTTTCAGAAGTTCAGAAGTTCTTTTTTGGGTAAGTGGATTTGGAGGTTTGGTAAAGAAAGGGAAAGATGGTGGAGGAACCTAGTGGCAGCCAAATTTAATACAAACAGAGATGATTGGGTAACTACTTCTGTCCCCTCTCTGGGATGCTTTCTTTGGAAGAAAATAATGGAATTGTTTCCACTTCTAAGTAGAGGTTTATCCTTAAAACTGGGGAATTGTCAAAGAGTCAGTCAGTTTTTGGAAGGACAATTGGTGTAGCAACAGGCCATAGCAGAGTTATTTAAAATTGCAGAGAACCAGGAAGCTTTGGTTGCTGACTGCTGTGAAGTTAGAGGTAATATCTGCTCCTGGTGCCCTTCTTTCAGAAGGCAATTTCAGGACTGGGAAGTTGATCAAGTGGCAGAGCTGCTGGAGATATCGTCCATCCAGACTGAATCTGTTAGAAGAGGATTCCCGGAGATGGATCTGGAACACAGATGGGTTGTTCTCAGTCAAGTAATTTTCCAGGAATTTAACAGTTGCCTCTCACGCTGATTTTCCTGCTGAGAAAATCTGGAACCCAATTGCCCCTTCGAAAATAAATGTCTTGGTCTGGGCTGTACCATTGGATAACTGCCTCTCCAAAAAGAATATGGAGAGAAGAGGGGTTCAGCTCCAGGACATGTTATGTGCTCTGTGATCAAGTGGAAGAAGACAGCAACCACTTATTTCTGCATTTCCCTGTTTCTATTTCAGCCTGGAAGCACTTCTTTTCTTTGGGTCTTTCTTGGGTCATGCCGGCTACTGTACTAGATCTAATGTGGTGCTGGGAACTGCAAGGCCTGTCCAAGATGGCAAAAAGTGTATGGTCTTCTCTTCCTGCAGCAGTGATCAGCACCATATGGGCAGAAAGAAATAGAAGAATTTTCCAAAATAGATCCAAGGATGTAGACTATTTTATCACCTGTTCCTTTGGAAAATTAGTCTCTTGGACTGCAGCTGCAAAAGGTCTCCAGTCCAGGGTATTGGGAGATCATCTGAGTGCTGGTAGTTTTTTAAATTTGTAATGTAATTCTGGGTTTTTGGCCTCCAGGTATCTTGTTTGGGGTTCTCCCTGTATTCTGTTTCTGTTTCTAATAAAATTACTTTACCTTTTACAAAAAAAACAATTGAAGGAATTCTCATATTGCACAGTTTACTAAATTAAATATATTTTTTATTATTTCAGCTAAGACCCATATGGAGTATCATTTTGAAGGTCTCCCTTAATTACATCTCTGTGAAGGGTAGAGAAAACCTTTTGATCCTGACTTGGAGAAATAAACGAACTGAACAAAACAATATACATAACATAAACAATTAAAGAACTCTTTAAATGAGCAACTCTAGTTACATTTCTTTTCATTTCCAAATTTTATAGAATTAAGAAACTTTTTAATGCCATTTCTTTTTTTGCATATACAATAATTTTACAATGTTTTTTCTCATTTCTTTTCTTCACAGTAAACCGTGGCCAGAATAATCTGACACTAGATGGCATTACTCTTCTAGATCTTGCACTTGGAGGGGAACTTGTTTTTTTTTTCTTTTCAATTGCAATCAAATTTTATTAATGAAGTTCAAAACATTTGTCTCCTTTTACTTTTCTCTACCCTTTGAGTTTCCTTTTACTTTTCTTACAATTGTGCCCAAAACATTTTTCCCCGATCCACTCCTTGCTTTTCTATTCACCAAGCTATTAGCTTCCCTTGGGATCCAAAAAACCCTCACCTCCATATCTCTAGCCAACCACCTGAACCTTTTTGCTTCATTACTGTAGCACCACAAAGCAGCTTCTCTCTTTTGTAGCCACCCAACCACCACTTTTCGATCTCCTTTAAGAACTGTCTTTTCCATGTTTTGGTTAGAATTATTTCTTGTTGTTTCTAGAAGGGTGGCTGTAATCTCTCTCTAGGGAGATTAATAGGGATTTGATTGGTTATGTAACTACCCCTCTGGCCCTCTCTAAAAGTGAGTGATATACCTGGTGTCCTACTTAAAGAGCGGAAGAACAAGGGATGGGACACTCCTTTAGTAGCCTGAATGGGCTTTTTAACTAGCTTATTATCCTTCTGTCTTAGACATGGTCCCAACCCACTTAATTGAGTTTAAAATGGGCCTAATAATTATCCTTTTAAGTAAATAAATAGATCTCATAAGCTTATAATTAAGCCTATTATTTTTCTTAAAGAAAAGATACATTTGATGTATCTTATAATAAATTTCACTTTCAAACACATTAAATATTGTGTTTCTTTTCTGTGTTTGACCTTTTTTCATGACTTTATTGACTTGAGCAGAACCCTTCATACACACACATGTACACACTCCCACTCAAAGTGAACAATCAAAAGTATTTCATAAATACTTGTGATATCAAATATATATAAGACAGGCCACTAGCCCATTAAATTATCTTGACAATGTTATTATCCTCTACACCCAAAAATCATTCCAATTGAATTAGTGTTTCAAAATGCATGCCTAGGCACACAGGTAAGGCACATTTTAAGGTATGTGCCTTGCCTGAACCTAGGCATAACTCCGTCGAAGGTACATGCCTGGTGCACCTTGTGCATTAGCTCAAGTGCAGGCCCTCTTTAAATATGTCTTTTTGTTATTTTTTTAGAGTCCTATATGTTTTACTCCTTGGTAATGGTTTATTAATGTCTAAGTTACCTTTTTATTGCTGTTTGTACACTGATAACTGTCCCAACTTGAAAAAGAAACAAAAGAAGAACTTTCAAATACCTAAAGCTTTAGTTCTTGCAAATAAGGTCTCAACATAAAAATTTCCACTAAGGCTATGTTTTGTTTGAAGGAAAAGGTAGGGAAAGGAAGGGAAATATAGGGAAACCTATACAAGGTTTGTAAATGTTTCCCTACATTTCCCTTCTTTTTCCTTCAAACCAAACACAGCCTAAAGATACAACAGTAATACAACTAATATCTGATCTCTAATCCTAAAATAGAATGAACTGCTGCTAAAAACACAAAGCTAACTCATTTATACATTGGACCAATTTTAGGTTTAGGGTGCTTCCCTAAACCCCTGCATGGACTTGTTCGAGCTTGCCCCAAGGAACCCTCCTAGGATTACCATTTAAGAATGCAAGATTTTTAACGTCACATTAGCCACATGAAGTTGCAAGTAGGAGAATAAACAAATTGAAAGTTAACATGCATGAATTGTTGAGTGCTTGAAGAACTTGAGTACAATTCACGTGTTTGCTTTCACTTCCACATGTTCACTTTGAATATGCCTTTTATGTTATGTTAATGTATTTTAGATTGAACTTTGTGAAGGGATGGGATATCCATCACATGGACGTCCAAGTCTTGCGGAATGGACTGGGTGAATTTCAAAAAAAATTTTTCCCATCTTTGCAGGGAATCGAATTCCCTATTTTGAAAACATATTTTCAAGGATCAATCTTGAACCATGAACCAAATCAGATCTGAACCAAAAGGAATAGGAGGGAGGATATACCTGATACGGAGAAACAATATCTCCCAATGGAGGTGTTCACGCCCAAGGAAGGATCCAAAATCTGCTCYCACTGAARATGGCGCAGTGCAGGATGGAGCAGAATCAACAATGTTCTTCCAAAAGAACTTGACCCTTCGCAAGAATCAACCGGATGGCTTGTGGGTACATCTCCAACCAATCCTTTCCCAAAAGATTGGAATCAAGATCAGATCTTGATTTCTCCCAAGAACTGGAGATCGAACTGAAGGCAATGGCGGCAGTAGGAAGGAGGCGGTAGGAGTGAATTCGCAGGGTGCAGAAATCTCTCTTTCTGTGATTTTTTAGCTCTGAAGAGAATCAGATGTGTGTCTTTCTTAGGCTGCCACCCCCTTCTTTTGTTAACTTAAAAGATCAGCTCCTAATCCAATTAGGAACAACTTATCCAAATCATATTTGGATAAGATCTCTCTTTAGGTGATAGGGATAAACCCTTATCTTATCTGCAGATTGAATCAGCCATCTCCTAATCTAATTAGGAGGTTTCCAGATCTAAATCTTATTTAGATCTTGGACTCTCTAAGTGGATAGGGTGTAGGCCCAATCCTAACAGTTGATCCATCTCAGAATTCGCCTCATAATTAATTAAATAAACAACCCAATTCGAAATGGGCTTTAGGCCCATTAAGCCTATGTACTCACTTAACCTTCCAAATTGCTGCCCAGTTGGGCTTCCTTGTATGGCGTGGGACCCAAACATTGATCTACACATCAGCCACATGGGTTCGGCCCAG